AAAAAAAAAAAAAAAAAAAAAAACCACAAACACAAAAATCCTCAGTTTTCCAAGTCTCCTGTGCCATTACATGTAGAAGTACTATTCAGAAACTTTTAAAGATCTAAACCTCTATTATTAAGAGCCACAGAAAAATCAACTTCAATGACATTGATAATACATGCAACCAACCTTTTGAGTTATTTTAAAATAAAACTCACCTCATCAGCAGGCAATTGGTCCTTGAATTCTTCCATCTTGGTTTCTGTGTCATGAATGATTCCTTCAGCCATATTAACTGCTTCAACTCGTTCCTTATAGAAATTAGAAGTTTGATATAAATGAAGACTTTCCAACCAACCAGAATTTGCTGAGTGTCCATACTGACCAAGATGATAAACCATCTGCTACATATATTTACAGAGTTAAAAATAGAGTGAGGAGAAATCACCATAGTCTGAGTAGTCTGGAATGGCTTTGAGAGACACTCTAGCTACATTCTGTAACTTAAGAATTTTAGTAGGGGAAACTGAGAAGAAACTGACATTCTACAGCTAAGTTATAAGCAATGGAGAAGGAATAGACTGATCTTATATTTTCTCTTACCTCCAACCTGGCATGTCCAAACTCCCACTTCACGCCCCAGCTTTACTAAGATTAAGCAGCTCAGAGAAAGACAAAGTAATTACCTTCTTTCGTCGATCTTCCTCAGCATACTTCTCTGCATTTTAACATATTTTCAATATCATCTTTGCTTAACCCACCAGAAACTGGATTACAACTGTGGTAAAAGTAAGGCATCTCGTTAGTTCGTAGATAAAATTAAATGCCTTTCTCCTCTATTGATTAAGGAGAGTACTCTTGCTCTTAGTAGCTAAGCTTGATGTAAATTATGAAGAGAAACCCTACTGTTCTATAAGCAAAATGAAACCAAGACCAAATGGCCTACCTGCCCACCCACAGAACCCTCAGCAATCCAGAGGCTCAGTTCTTGCCTGTTTTTTGTGGTGTGTGTGTGGGGGGCAATAAACACTACACTTGTAAAAGTGACTCTGATAACTGAGGACAAAAAGGGAAAAGAGGACTCATCATCCTCCACTGAGCTCAGGGAGAAAGATATGCCTGAGATGGTCTATTTCCCAACAGAGGTCCCTTAAAAACAAGGGACTTACTCTGCTGCTCACGTCCTGTGCCCTTATCTTTGCAAACAATGTACGATCCCATTGGCAATCAATATCAAATGTAACTTCAATCTGCGGGACTCCACGAGGGCTGGGGAATTCCAATCTAAAATAAGCAAGTAAATATCCAGAGTAAGCTCCTCTTACAGAGGGGTCCAGAGTTGTTATTTCCAATCTATATGGTATTCTGATGAAGTCATTTAGTTCCTGGGAGAACAAGTGATACCTTTTACTTAATGTTATAAAAACACTGTAAGTGAGGCAGTAATTTTCATTGCTGCCAGAAATCAACAGGGCTTTACCAGTGAAGGTTACCTATAGCAGGCAACCATAATGGTGTTATGTACTTAGGGAGAATGAATGAGAGCAACCTCCCACTATTGTTCATCTCACCAAGAACCAATAAGCAGTGCTGATGAGAAACCAGTAATAAAATCAAATGTCTTTTAAATGAGTAATCAGGATTTTCTGAGTTAGCATTGTTTCAAAACATTTTCCTGGCTCTAAAAACATTTTTTTAAAAGTTATTTTGCCACCTACACAGAATCAGGCAGAAAATATTTGAAACTTGTCTTTCCCCCGCCCCTTTTTTCAGACAAGGCCTGGCTATGTTGACCAGGCTGGTGTCAAACTCCTGGCTCAAGCAATCCTTCTGCCTCAGCTTTCTGAGTAGATGAGAATTACAGGCACACACCATCAAATCCAGCAGTCTTATAAACTTCATGAAGTTCCTAAGGCACAAGTAACAAGCAATGCTTCCAGGTAAAAACTGAAATCACAGGAATTCATCTGCACACCTCTTCTCAAGATAACACAGTATACACGTGTATGTAGCAGTTTATGCTAATATTTTTAGGGTTAGAATATTGTTTACAGTGAAAGACTGAGGAGCACAATATTCAGGATTCACAATACTACCAAAGTAACTGTACTATTCATTGATGGGCACACTAAAGAACCCAGACATCACCACTATACAATTGATCCATGTAACCAAATGCCCCCATACCCCTAAATCTATCGAAATAAAAAAAATCTAGAGAGAAACAGTAAAAAGAGCAGTTGCTGCCAGAGGTTGAGAGAAGGGAGGGATGAATAAGCAGAGCACAGAAAATTTTTAGGGCAGTAAAGCTATTCTGTATGATACTGCAATGGTAGATACATTATATTATGCATTTGGCAAAACCCATCGAATGTGCATCACCAAAAGGGAATCCTAATGTGAATGAACTATGGACTTTGATTAACCCTTTGCACTCGCTTGCTTTATTCTCATTATCCAATTGACATTATCCACACTCGACATCTGAGTGCAAAGGGTTAATAATAACATTCAACATTGATGCATCATTTCAGGGAATCACAGTAGGATTAAATACAGCAAAAGGGCATACAATAGCCATTGTCTCAACTGAGCAAACTCATTGTACAAAGATGCAGCATTAGCACAGAAGGCCTCAAGAGAAGGAGCTAAAATGTTGAAACATGCTCCTCTGGGGAAACAGGGATCAAGACAGGAGATATTATCATGTGCTCAGTCACAGAAGTCACCACACACATTTTTTCAGAATGATTGTTGACAAATACATCATTGCACAAATATAGCAATAGCTATAGTTTTTTTTTTTTAAATCAAGATTGGGGTCAGGAAATAATTCTTAATCAAGACAAGCCATGTTCCAATAACTCTGTTTATTATCTTCAGTATCCCCCCTTCCACCCCCATCCATTCATTGAATATAAGACAAAACACAGTTTTCAAGTCTTGGCTAGGCTATTCTTTTTCCTTTTTTGAGATAGGATCTTGATCTGCTGCCCTGGCTAGAGAACAGCGGCACAATTATATCACGCTGCAGCCTCGAACTCCCTGGGCTCAAGCCCCTGCTATCTCAGCCTCCCAAGCAGCTGGACTAGAGCACATGCCACCATGTCCAGCTAATTTTTAAATTTCTTATAGAGATGGGTCTCATTATGTAGACAGGCTGAGCTTGAACCCATAGCCTCAAGACATCCTCCCACCTCAGCCCTCCAAATGCTGGGATTACAGATGTGAGCCACCCACCATATTCTTTTTACTGTATTTGAGAACAGAAGACTACAGGGAATTGAGTCCCACGAAAGGAGATTCCTTTTAGCAGATCATGTTAATTACATGAAGGAGAGACTACTTATATCATCACTGCTGACATGTAAGAACTTTTCCAGAAACAAAACACCACAAAATATGACATTCTCGCATCCACGTCAACTAGTCTGAACTACAACACAAAAGTATTCTATAGCTTACAAATGGCTGCAGTCATATCCTCACAGACCCAATACCTATGTGACAAGGTAGGGAGGAATGGCTCATACTGGCTCTTCTTGGTTGGAATATGTGTTCCTGTTAATAAGCTTGGTAAAGACACCTCCCAGAGTCTCAATACCAAAGATAGGGGAGTGACGTCCAGGAGCAGCACATCTGTGACATCACCAGCCAACACCCTCCCTGAATGCAGCTCCAATGGCCACAGCCTCGTCAGGATTGACAGCTTTACTTGGGGCTCGGCCAAGAGAGATCCTGCACGGTCTGCTGAACCTGAGCATCAAGGACAAGAACCTGTCACCCAACACACAGGCGAACTGACTGAGAACAGAAGACAGCACATATGTCCTAAGCTCCCAGCCAAATTTCAAAGACAAATGGATTCAAATCCAAGACTGTTACTCAAATTACTATTTCATAGTTGAATTCTTTTATTTGTTTTTTCAACATATTATGGGGGTACAAATGTTAAAGTTATGTATATTGCCTTGCCCTCCTCCCCGCTCAAGTCAGAGGTTAAGTGGGTCCATCCCCCAGCAAGGTCACTAAGGACCCAAAATAATTCTATTTTAGCTACCAAAGAAGAATCACAACTTCAATGAACAAGTTGTGCTCAGTCTTTAGTATTTAACACATCTGTGCTTTCAGAATGATGTGTTTGATGAATAAAATGCATCATTGCACAAATCTTCATTGAGAGATAGAAAAATAAACCCCAGGTACTATGCTACAAAGACGCAGGCCCAAGACTCCCTAGGGGCTAGTTAGTACACAGGTTTTAAGTTTCTGACCTCAAACTGTTTCCTTCCTAAAATTCTACAAGACTGAGTTCAGAATCGCCATGTATCCTGGCTAAGTGCCATGGCGTCAGCCTAGCTCACTGCAACCTCAAACTCCGGGCTCAAGTGATCCTCCTGCCTCAACCTCCTGAGTAGCTGGGGCTACAGGTGTCACCACCACGCCAATTAATTTCTATTTTTTGTAGAGGGATCTTGCTCAGGCTGGTCTTAAACTCCTGCCTCCAAGTGATCCTCCTGCCTCAGCCCCCCAAAGTGGTAGGAATTACAGTCATGAACCACTGCACTAGGTCTTATATTCCTAATTTAAAAAGGCTAAAAACAACTCTTTACTGAGGACTAATCTCTTCCCTCTTTTCGGTCGTCTCTGGCAGAATAGGCCACATATTCATGTCCATAGACAACATAACCACTTGTCCCCCAAAAAACCATCATGTACTGGCACTCTCTTCTCTCCATGACAGAAAACCATGAAGCCCTACCTTAGGCATCCTAGTCATGCCACCAACAAGAATCACTTCTCCTATGTCACTCTTGCTGACTTCTGCGTCTTGCATAGCTTTTTGCATGGAGAATAGTTCCCTGATTAGATCAGTGACGATCCCTCAAATTGGGCACCGAGTCAACTTCATATTCAAATGTTTGGGTCACAGAAGCATCCATTGTAATTATGGCAAGTTGATGTCAGTCTGCAAAGAAAATGTTTAATTGTATGTCTGTGGGGAAACCAATGGTGGTTAAGCTTATATGTCAATTAAAATAAGACCACTCCCTAGGACAGGACCTTGGAACGCTGGAAGGAGGGTGAGACCTACTTTAAATGTAACACCCACAAAGACAGTGGCGGTAAGATGCAACCTCTTATCTCCCCAGAGAGAACAACTATAGAATCTGTCCCCACCCCCCCCCAGAACAAGCCTTTTAATTTTTATTCTCAAAAAAGGTTCATTTTCTTATTTAGCTTTCTGGCTCTGTGCTTGTGCCTTCAACACCTTCACAACGATTTTCTGCTCCTCGATAAGGAAAGCACGCTTGATCCTGTCACGAACACATTTAGCCACACATGGAACCACCATAGGCCTACTGACATGTTTTTTTGTTTTAGACAACCTCATAAGAACTTTAGGTCTCACAGCACGAATCCTCGAAGTCTACCTGGGCACACACCACATGCAGATTTTGGTGCTTTCCCAACGTTCTTGGTATAAAGGTAAACAATTCTATTACCAGGGGTTCGGGAACAGCCTAGTTTTGTTAGAGGCTGTGTTGTAGGAAGCCTACGGCGATATGTCAAATGTTGGACCATTTTGAGTACCTGCAGACAGCGACCCCGGAAGAGGAAAAAGTAGAATCTGTTTTAATGAGCTCCATAGTTATTAACAATGAAAAACAGACAAGCAGGGAAAATCACTAAGAACTATTCTGTCACTAAACATTCATTAAGAATCACAGAGGGGAGGGTGGGACGGGGGGGGCGGGTGAAGGAAGAAAAACTACCTATCAGGTGCAAGTGTACATGCCATTTCGAAGAGCTTCAGTGATGCCTGTTGAAGGGAGGATGCTGCCTGCCTAATGTTTTCTCCTGTTTCACTGTCTTTTCTGGCGATGACATCGCTCATTTTGGAAATCAATACATTTAGCTTGTTGCACTTAAAAAAAAAAAAAAAAAAAAAACCACAAACACAAAAATCCTCAGTTTTCCAAGTCTCCTGTGCCATTACATGTAGAAGTACTATTCAGAAACTTTTAAAGATCTAAACCTCTATTATTAAGAGCCACAGAAAAATCAACTTCAATGACATTGATAATACATGCAACCAACCTTTTGAGTTATTTTAAAATAAAACTCACCTCATCAGCAGGCAATTGGTCCTTGAATTCTTCCATCTTGGTTTCTGTGTCATGAATGATTCCTTCAGCCATATTAACTGCTTCAACTCGTTCCTTATAGAAATTAGAAGTTTGATATAAATGAAGACTTTCCAACCAACCAGAATTTGCTGAGTGTCCATACTGACCAAGATGATAAACCATCTGCTACATATATTTACAGAGTTAAAAATAGAGTGGAGGGAGAAATCACCATAGTCTGAGTAGTCTGGAATGGCTTTGAGAGACACTCTAGCTACATTCTGTAACTTAAGAATTTTAGTAGGGGAAACTGAGAAGAAACTGACATTCTACAGCTAAGTTATAAGCAATGGAGAAGGAATAGACTGATCTTATATTTTCTCTTACCTCCAACCTGGCATGTCCAAACTCCCACTTTCACGCCCCAGCTTTACTAAGATTAAGCAGCTCAGAGAAAGACAAAAAGTAATTACCTTCTTTCGTCGATCTTCCTCAGCATACTTCTCTGCATTTTTAACCATATTTTCAATATCATCTTTGCTTAACCCACCAGAAGACTGGATTACAACTGTGGTAAAAGTAAGGCATCTCGTTAGTTCGTAGATAAAATTACATGCCTTTTCTTCCTCTATTGATTAAGAGGAGTACTCTTGCTCTTAGTAGCTAAGCTTGATGTAAATTATGAAGAGGAATACCCTACTGTTCTATAAGCAAAATGAAACCAAGACCAAATGGCCTACCTGCCCACCCACAGAACCCTCAGCAATCCAGAGGCTCAGTTCTTGCCTGTTTTTTTTGTGTGTGTGTGGGGGGGGGCAATAAACACTACACTTGTAAAAGTGACTCTGATAACTGAGGACAAAAGGGAAAAGAGGACTCATCATCCTCCACTGAGCTCAGGAGGAAAAGATATGCCTGAGATGGTCTATTTCCCAACAGAGGTCCCTTAAAAACAAGGGGACTTACTCTGCTGCTCACGTCCTGTGCCCTTATCTTTTGCAGAAACATGTACGATCCCATTGGCATCAATATCAAATGTAACTTCAATCTGCGGGACTCCACGAGGGGCTGGGGGAATTCCAATCTAAAATAAGCAAGTAAATATCCAGAGTAAGCTCCTCTTACAGAGGGGTCCAGAGTTGTTATTTCCCAATCTATATGGTATTCTGATGAAGTCATTTAGTTCCTGGGAGGAACAAGTGATACCTTTTACTTAATGTTATAAAAACACTGTAAGTGAGGGCAGTAATTTCATTGCTGCCAGAAATCAACAGGGCTTATACCAGTGAAGGTTACCTATAGCAGGCAACCATAATGGTGTTATGTACTTAGGGAGAATGAATGAGAGCAACCTCCCCACTATTGTTCATCTCACCAAGAACCAATAAGCAGTGCTGATGAGAAACCAGTAATAAATATCAAATGTCTTTTAAATGAGTAATCAGGAATTTCTGAGTTAGCATTGTTTCAAAACATTTTCCTGGCTCTTAAAAACATTTTTTTAAAAAGTTATTTTGCCACCTACACAGAATCAGGCAGAAAAATATTTGAAACTTGTCTTTCCCCCGCCCCTTTTTTCAGACAAGGCCTGGCTATGTTGACCAGGCTGGTGTCAAACTCCTGGGCTCAAGCAATCCTTCTGCCTCAGCTTTCTGAGTAGATGAGATTACAGGCACACACCATCAAATCCAGCAGTCTTATAAACTTCATGAAGTTCCTAAGGCACAAGTAACAAGCAATGCTTCCAGGTAAAAACTGAAATCACAGGAATTCATCTGCACACCTTCTTCTCAAGATAACACAGTATACACGTGTATGTAAGCAGTTTATGCTAGTATTTTTAGGGGTTAGAATATTGTTTACAGTGAAGAGACTGAGGAGCACAATATTCAGGATTCACAATACCTACCAAAGTAAACTGTCCCAGAAGTTTGTTGTCTCCAGCCATCTCTCTCTCACCCTGACATACTTTAATCTCCACTTGAGTCTGTCCATCAGCAGCTGTAGAAAACACCTAGGGAGGAAGGAAACTTCCTGGATTGGCAATCTGATTATAAACTCCTCCCCTTATACAGACAAAATGCAAGCCAGAGAAAGAAACATATCTCAACATTGGAAGGGTCCTAATTTACACTATGTCAGAACAAAGGCTTATGTCTTTACAGGGAATCACAGTAGGATTAAATACAGCAAAAGGGCATACAATAGCCATTGTCTCAACTGAGCAAACTCATTGTACAAAGATGCAGCATTAGCACAGAAGGCCTCAAGAGAAGGAGCTAAAATGTTGAAACATGCTCCTCTGGGGAAACAGGGATCAAAGACAGGAGATATTATCATGTGCTCAGTCACAGAAGTCACCACACACATTTTTTTCAGAATGATGTGTTGACAAATACATCATTGCACAAATATAGCAATAGCTATAGTTTTTTTTTTTTTAAATCAAGATTGGGAAAGTCAGGAAATAATTCTTAATCCAAGACCAAGCCATGTTCCAATAACTCTGTTTATTATCTCAGTATCCCCCCTTCCACCCCCATCATTCATTTGAATATAAGACAAACACAGTTTCCTAAGTCTTGGCTAGGCTATTCTTTTTTCCTTTTTGAGATAGGATCTTGATCTGCTGCCCTGGCTAGAGAACAGCGGCACAATTATATCACGCTGCAGCCTCGAACTCCTGGGCTCAAGCAACCCTGCTATCTCAGCCTCCCAAGCAGCTGGACTAGAGGCACATGCCACCATGTCCAGCTAATTTTTTAAATTTCTTATAGAGATGGGGTCTCATTATGTAGACCAGGCTGAGCTTGAACCCATAGCCTCAAGACATCCTCCCACCTCAGCCTCTCCAAATGCTGGGATTACAGATGTGAGCCACCCACCATATTCTTTTTACTGTATTTGAGAACAGAAGACTACAGGGAATTGAGTCCCACAGAAAGGAGATTCCTTTTAGCAGATCATGTTAATTACATGAAGGAGAGACTACTTATATCATCACTGCTGACATGTAAGAACTTTTCCAGAAACAAAAAACCCACAAAATATGACATTCTCGCCATCCACAGTCAACTAGTCTGAACTACAACACAAAAGTATTCTATAGCTTACAAAAGTGGCTGCAGTCATATCCCTCACAGAACCCAATACCTATGTGACAAGGTAGGGAGGAATGGCTCATACCTGGCTCTTCTTGGTTGGAATAGTGGTGTTCCTGTTAATAAGCTTGGTAAAGACACCTCCCAGAGTCTCAATACCCAAAGATAGGGGAGTGACGTCCAGGAGCAGCACATCTGTGACATCACCAGCCAACACACCTCCCTGAATAGCAGCTCCAATGGCCACAGCCTCGTCAGGATTGACAGCTTTACTTGGGGCTCGGCCAAAGAGATCCTGCACGGTCTGCTGAACCTGAGCATCAAGGACAAAGAACCTGTCACCCAACACACAGGCGAACTGACTGAGAACAGAAGACAGCACATATGTCCTAAGCTCCCAGCCAAATTTCAAAGACAAATGGATTCAAATCCAAGACTGTTTACTCAAATTACTATTTCATAGTTGAATTCTTTTTATTTGTTTTTTTCAACATATTATGGGGGTACAAATGTTAAAGTTATGTATATTGCCCTTGCCCCTCCTCCCCGCTCAAGTCAGAGGTTAAGTGGGTCCATCCCCCAGCAAGGTCACTAAGGACCAAAATAATTCTATTTAGGCTACCAAAGAAGAATCACAACTTCAATGAACAAGTTTGTGCTCAGTCTTTAGTATTCTACACATCTGTGCTTTCAGAATGATGTGTTGATGAATAAAATGCATCATTGCACAAATCTTCATTGAAGAGATAGAAAAATAAACCCCAGGTACTATGCTACAAAGACGCAGGCCCAAGACTCCCTAGGGGCTAGTTAGTACACAGGTTTTAAGTTATCTGACCTCAAACTGTTTCCTTCCTAAAAATTCTACAAGACTGAGTTCAGAATCGCCATGTATCCTGGGCTAGAGTGCAATGGCATCATCATAGCTCACTGCAACCTCAAACTCCTGGGCTCAAGTGATCCTCCTGCCTCAACCTCCTGAGTAGCTGGGGCTACAGGTGTGCACCACCACGCCCAATTAATTTTTCTATTTTTTGTAGAGGGATCTTGCTCAGGCTGGTCTTAAACTCCTGGCCTCAAGTGATCCTCCTGCCTCAGCCTCCCTCAAAGTGGTAGGATTACAGTCATGAACCACTGCACTAGGTCTTATATTCCTTAATTTAAAAAGGCTAAAAACAACTCTTTACTGAGGACATAATCTCTTCCCTCTTTTCGGTCACTCTGGCAGAATAGGCCACATATTCATGTCCATAGACAACATAACCACTTGTCCCCCCAAAAAACCATCATGTACTGGCACTCTCTTCTCTCCATGACAAGAAAACCATGAAGCCCTACCTTAGGCATCCTAGTCATGCCACCAACAAGAATCACTTCTCCTATGTCACTCTTGCTGACTTCTGCGTCTTGCATAGCTTTTTGGCATGGAGCAATAGTCCTCCTGATTAGATCAGTGACGATCCCCTCAAATTGGGCACGAGTCAACTTCATATTCAAATGTTTGGGTCCAGAAGCATCCATTGTAAGATATGGCAAGTTGATGTCAGTCTGCAAAGAAAATGTTTAATTGTATGTCTGTGGGGAAACCAATGGTGGTTAAGCTTATTATGTCAATTAAAATAAGACCACTCCCTAGGACAGGAAGACTTGGAACGCTGGAAGGAGGGTGAGACCTACTTTAAATGTAAACACCCACCAAAGACAGTGGCGGTAAGATGCAACCTCTTATCTCCCCAGAGAGAAACACTATAGAATCTGTCCCCCCCACCCCCCGCCCAGAACAAGCCTTTTAATTTTTATTTCTCAAAAAAGGTTCATTTTCTTATTTAGCTTTCTGGCTCTGTGCTTGTGCCTTCAACACCTTCACAACGATTTTCTGCTCCTCGATAAGGAAAGCACGCTTGATCCTGTCACGAACACATTTAGCACACATGGAACCACCATAGGCCCTACTGACATGTTTTTTTGTTTTAGACAACCTCATAAGAACTTTAGGTCTCACAGCACGAATCCCTCGAAGTCTACCTGGGCACACACCACATGCAGATTTTGGTGCTTTCCCAACGTTCTTGGTATAAAGGTAAACAATTCTATTACCAGGGGTTCGGGACAGCCTAGTTTTGTTAGAGGCTGTGTTGTAGGAAAGCCTACGGCGATATGTCAAATGTTGGACCATTTTGAGTACCTGCAGACAGCGACCCCGGAAGAGGAAAAAGTAGAATCTGTTTTAATGAGCTCCATAGTTATTAACAATGAAAAACAGACAAGCAGGGAAAATCACTAAGAACTATTCTGTCACTAACATTCATTAGAATCACAGAGGGAGGTGGGACGGGGGGGGGGTGAAGGAAGAAAAACTACCTATCAGGTGCAATGTACACTATTCATTGATGGGCACACTAAAGAACCCAGACATCACCACTATACAATTGATCCATGTACCAAATGCCCCATACCCATCTATCGAATAAAAAATCTAGAGAGAAACAGTAAAAGAGCAGTTGCTGCCAGAGGTTGAGAGAAGGGAGGATGAATAAGCAGAGCACAGAAATTTTAGGGCAGTAAGCTATTCTGTATGATACGCAATGGTAGATCATTATATTATGCATTGGCAAACCCATCGAATGTGCATCACCAAAAGGGAATCCTAATGTGAATGAACTATGGATTGATTACCCTTTGCACTCGCTTGCTTTATTCTCATTATCCAATTGACATTATCCACACTCGACATCTGAGTGCAAAGGGTTAATAATAACATTCAACATTGATGCATCAGCCGGGCGTGGTGGCTCACGCCTGTAATCCTAGCACTTTGGGAGGCTGAGGCGGGTGGATTGCTCAAGGTCAGGAGTTCAAAACCATCCTGAGCGGACCCGTCTCTACCAAAATAGAAATAAATTAATTGACCAACTAAATAAATATATACAAAATTAGCCGGCATGGTGGCGCATGCCTGTACCAGCTACTCGGGAGCTGAGGCAGTAGGATCGCTGAGCCCGAGATTGAGGTTGCTGTGAGCCAGGCTGACGCCCGGCACTCACTCTAGCTGGCAACAAGTGAGATCTGTCTCAAAAAAAAAAAAAAAAAAAAAAAAAAACATTGATGCATCAAATGTAACAAATGTACCACATTAATACAAGGTGTTAATAGGGAAAACTATGCAGGGGGACAGGGAGAGGAAGTATTTGGGAACCCTCTGTACATTCTTGCTCTAATTTCCTACAAAGCTAAAAGAATAAAGTGTATTTAAAAAAATACACAATTATGCACTTCAAGATGGCAACAGTAGAGCAACAGCAAAAACAATCACACTACTAAAGTTTTCTTTCACCAAGTTTAAAAAATATCGTATGTACATGAGGAAAAAAATAAAAGTAGGCTCTGAACCAAAGAACCTGTCATCAGCCCTGGGCCTTCTAAGTTCCAGGAAGTTTATAAGTGGTAAGAAAGCTTCAGAAATGTTTAATAAGAGAAGTATATCAATGTTTAAAGACTACTCTGACAATGTCCTTTCTTTGCAAAATGTTTATAAACCAAATCAGAACACAGAATTATTTAAATGCTATCCAGTAGAAAAACTTTCTATGACAATGGAAGTGTTCTTTATCTATGCTATTCAATTCAGCAACCACTAGCCACATATGACTGATGAGCACTTGAAAGACTAGCATCAGTGTAACTGAGAAACTTTAGATTATAACTGACTCAAATATCCACATGTGGCTGGCTACTGTAGTAGCACAGCTCTAAACGCTAAAAGTTAATAGCAGTCTCAAAAACAACAGCACTACCAACTATCAACCCTCTGCAGCCAGTCCATCACAATGTTTTGTCTGCTCTCTCTCAAATTCAACCATTTATCTCTCACTCTTATATTCTAGTCCAAGTCCTTTCTTACCACGTGTTTACAACACCATGTCTTTCCACATCCATTCAGGCGCCTTCTGATGCAGGACCCCTTACCAAACATTTCTCCACTCCAGCCCAAGCCAGAGAACTTTCCACAAGTCAAAACTTGACCATGTTACCACTCCCAATTTAAAACTCTTCTGAAATTTGTACTCACTTATCTCAGAACAGACACCAAATCCCCAATCTAGTAAGCTTCTAGCCTCATCTTCCATGCTTGCCAAGCCCTATCCCCACCCCCACCCCAGCCAATATGCACTCTGCCCTTTTAGCCACTCCTGGCCCTTTCTCAAATCTTACTTCAGAGCCTTATACTTACTGCCCACTCCACCCCCTTCCTGGTCAACTCATCTCTCAGAAGCTATCCTTGTTATGCTGAACACCTCTTTTGAATTCCTTTTTATAATTATAAATGTAACTGCCTTTTTATAATTTGTTACATTAATAGCAACATATTTAGTGTACTATTTACTACAAGTTTACCTAATAACATTGTATTTATTTTATTATTTTTTTTTGAGGCTGAGTCTCACTCTGTTGCCTGGGCTATAGAGTGCCGTGGTGTCAGCCTAACTCACAGCAACCTCGAGGTCCTGGGCTCAAGTGATCCTTCTGCCTCAGCCTCCCAAGTAGCTGGGACTACAAGCTTGCACCACCCTGCCCAGCTAATTTTTTTTCTATATATTTTTAGTTGGCCAATTAATTTCTTTCTATTTTTTAGTAGAGATGTGGTCTCGCTTTTGCTCAGGCTGGTTTCGAACTCCTGATCTTGAGCAATCCACCTGCCTTAACGTCCCAGAGTGCGTGAGTGGTGTGAGCCACCACACCCGGCCAACATTATATATTTATCCATTTGATAATCCTCACAACTCTAGGGGGAAAGTACTACTATTATCCTTATTTTGCAGCTAAGGAAACAGAAATGTAAAGTAATTCATCCAAGATCACAGGTAAGTGATGAAATGGGGATTAAACCCTATCAGACTATCAGCAGAACCATCACTCTTAGCCTCTACACATCACTTCTGGTTTGACAGAGTCTTGCTCTGTTGCCCAGGCTAGAGTGAGTGCCGTGGCATCAGCCTAGCTCACAGCAACCTCAAACTCCTGGGCTCAGGCAATCCTCCTGCCTCAGCCTCCCGAGTAGCTGGGACTACAGGTATCTGCCACCATGCCTGGCTAATTTTTTCTCTATATATTAGTTGGCCAATTAATTTCTTACTATTTATAGTAGAGACGGGGTCTCGCTCTTGCTCAGGTTGGTTTCGAACTCCTGATCTCGAGCAATCCACCCGCCTCGGCCTCCCAAAGTGCTAGGATTACAGGCATGAGCCACTGCACCCCGCCTTCGTTTGACATTTATTAATACAACACTATGGATTAGTGTACAGTTTTGTTAGTCCTCACAGCTACCTAAAAAAAATATATCCAGGTTTGACTGAAGGTTAATTAGCAGCAACCACTTTACCAACACAATGACAACTGCTATAAATACCTCTTCCTTGTGGGAGAATCAAACTAACAACTCGTCACAGCTCTGTTCTTCCTGCTGTCACTCAAGAAATTGGAAACAGATCCGCTGCCTTTTATGTTACGGGATAGGTCTCCAACCCAGATATAACATAGTCTATATATACAATTCTACTCTTGGTAGTTAAGTGAAGCTGCACCTCTTGAAACTGGAGCCAAACAAGCTGATGCCTTAAAGAGAGGCTGGGCAAATCTGATGCCCAGGAGGGAAAGGTGTATATACCTCAGGTGTATATACCTCAGCCTTGAGCCAGCTTTCACAACTAATTTTTTAGACTGGTGATCCAAATTATTAAATGAGGGATAATTAGAAACTTACACAATTCACAAGGAGAAGTTTACTCAGTTAAGTGAAAACAGCAGTTTTTCCAGGCTAGTAATTCTAGTTTTATATGCTGCTTGATTTTAAAATGTCTTTAACTTAAAGGCAAACAAATGTATGTCCACTGTCATTTGGATCTTAATATACTTATTTAGCTCCAGTATATATAACCTCTGGTTTGGGTAGTTAAAAATTTTCAGCTCATTCATAAAAAACTAAAGGCCATACCGTTCCTGTGCTTACACCAAAGGTTTTACCAACCAGAAAACTGCAAAAAGACTAAATCGACATTAGGCCAATTATAGTGTACTATTCAAATAAACTCAAGGTCAAAGTATCAAGGCTGCGAGGATTTTTTCCATGTCTTACCTGCACAGATGAGGAGAGTTCACATTTAGCCTTCTCAGCAGCTTCCCGCACCCTTTGAAGTGCCATGTTGTCTTTGGTCAAATCAACCCCTGTCTACAAAGTCAAGATATACAATACTAGCATTAGTGGGGTGATGAATATTTAAATTGCACTGATAAGGTGGAACAGTACAAAATAGAATCATACTTTTATAAGCAAGTATGAACTACTTTTTATTACCCTTAAAGATTGGTAGGGGAAAAAAGAACCTATTCTGAAAAGATTATCTATGCCTAGAATAAGTGAGCTGAACAGATGGTCAGTTCTTTCCAGCCCTAGGATTCCAGTTTAAAATTCCTCTTCCAATATTGTATACTGCACACCATGTACTTATGTGTCTCGTTTGTTCCTAATCGGAATCTACAAGAACCAGAATAGGTAAGTCCACTCATGAAGCTTAAGGGCAATTATGTCAGTGCTTTATTAAGGGCACAAAAACTGTAAACAAAGCAAACAGCAATCTAAAAAAAGAAACTCTCAATATCTCAAAGTCTACATATTAACCACAATGGTAACCAACCTCTCTCTTGAACTCTTTCACTATGTGTCGTAGCAAGGCCTGGTCAAAGTCTTCACCACCTAAGAAAGTGTCTCCATTCGTAGATTTCACCTCAAATACTCCTTTCTGAATTTCCAGGATAGAAATATCAAAAGTCCCACCACCTAAATCATATACAGCAATGCTAAAAAGAAAGTAAGAAAACCTTAAGGAACAAAACCTGTAACAAGGGCATAAACTTCAATAAGCAAATGAAGATAAACTTAGCTATTTTCCTGAGGCATACAATTATTATAAAATCTGACAACTGCCTAAGTGACAAATCTAACATGTACAGTGCACAGTGCACACACAGAGATGAAATGAAACTCGTTTTTATTTTGAGACAGGGTCTTGCTGTTCCCCTGGCTAGAGTGCAGTGGCATCCATCATAGTTAACTGCAACCTCAAACTCCTGGGCTTAAGTGATTCTCCTGCCTCAGCCTCCTGAGTAGTCGGGACTACAGGCGTGCACCACCACAATTTTAAAGATGGTATTTAACCATAATTTTGTATAAACACTTACCAACATTCATACCAAGGCAAAGAAAAATTACCATAGCCCAAAAGTAAATAAGCAAAGGAATGGTCTTGAAATGAATAAAAAATACAGACTATACAGCCTTGAAAAAGGTAAAGTTGGTATATTTTTAATCTAAGTACAAGGCTCAATCACTGAGAAATCAAGATGATCATTTAGGATAAGGCTTATGGCTCCATGACTTTAGTTTCATATATCTAGGTGACATTTACTGCACAAACTTACATTTTGTCTTCTGATTTGTCTAGACCATAGGCCAGAGCAGCAGCTGTGGGCTCATTAATCACTCGAAGCACATTCAGTCCAGATATCTGGCCAGCATCCTTAGTGGCCTAGAGAAAACAGAAAAAGCTTTTTTCCACCCTTGTGTTCCAGGTACCACTACTTTTTGTGAATAAGAATGCTAATTGACCTTACCTGTCTCTGGGAGTCATTGAAGTAAGCTGGTACTGTAATCACAGCATTTTTTGCTGTGTGCCCCAAGTAATTTTCTAGAAAAGAATCAAAGAATGAAATACAATTATGGGATTCTGTCAGAAAAACCCAGGCAATAGAATGAATGTAGCTTAACAACCTGTGTTATCCTCTTTTAGAGCCACAAACAACACTCAGTTTTTCAGCAAGTTACCTAGCAACAAAACACTCCAATTAAAGATACTGGCTGAAAACACAAGCTCTCACCTTAACATTTTAGTGAAGGTTCACCAAGCTACAATGACCTTTAGACTTAAAACAGCCACTAGTCTCTTGAAATGGGAAGTTCTAAGTTTTACCTAACAGTGGCAAAAGCTTAATGTGTAGTCTTCTGGCTTTCAATACAGAGATTACATCTTACTGGAAAAAAGATATAAGCCAGCCACCATCAGTGAAACATCTTCAATCTGCAGACAAAGTATGAAGAGTAACAGAGTTTTGCCATTCGTAAGTTTTCGGTACAAAAGGCACCAGAGACTCAATCTACAGGATGCTGGAGTATGGAGCTAGTGATCACAGAGCAAACATCCAGTTCTTTGAACTTTCCTACATGTGAACTAAATCCACTCACCTGCAGTCTCTTTCATCTTCATCAATACAAATGCTCCAATCTGACTTGGAGAATAGAGTTTTCCATGAGCCTCAACCCAGGCATCACCATTGGAGGCACGGACAATTTTAAAGGGAACATTTTTACTGAAAGACACAAAAATTGTATCAGAGAAAGCTGGCCAGTGCAATCTACTATGATTATATCATCATACGCCATGAATGTCCATCTTCCACCCTAAGAAACACATGGCCAACAAAACGATAATTTTAGGAATTCATTTAATAAAACTCTTTAGAAAGCAATCAATAACATGTCAAAAACATCCCAATGAAATCTGAACACTTTTCTTCCCACCAAGCAAGATTTCTGCACCTGCTTTGGAAGAAAGTCTGTCTGGCAGTTCCATTTGAGAATGAATCACAGTTACTATATGGCCCAGCAATTTGACTAGTTATCTACCCTAGAGTAATGAAAACGTATATCCACGCAAAAACTGATACTCAAATGTTTATGACAGCCTTATTCACAACAGCTAAAAAACCCAAATAGTAGAAACAACCCACATGTCCATCACCTGACACATAGATAAACAAAATGTGGTATATAATCATAGAGTAGAATATTATTTGGCCATAAAAAGGAATGAAGTACTGATATGTGCTACAACACAGATGAACCTCAGAAACATTACGCTAAATGAAGCCAGTCACAGAAGCCAGCATGATTCCATTCAAATGAATTCATATTCCATTCATAAATCAGATATCAATAAAGATTTAAAAAAAAATTTACACAGAGGAAACTCTATGTTTCCAGTATTTTTAATTTGAAAAAAGCAAAACCAATTTTTTTCACCTATCTGGATCAACACATGATGGAACCTATGCCATCATTGTCTTATGTGTTCAACAGTGAATTACATGGCTCAGGAATGCCTCGAAAATCTTCATCTATTACATCAATACATAGCAAAGACCTCAACTGGGAAGGCAAAAATGAAATTTTTAAAGGAGTTACCCTTTTGACAAGGGCATAGACTTCCCCCAGGGACAATATGTAAAGTGATAAAATAAGATGCTCCAGGAATCCTGATCAATGTGCTGAAAGATTCTTCTGTGCGAGCCTTGCAAGTAACTGTGGTTTGTTATTACTCACATGTCTTTCTGTACTTCAGGGTCATCGTATCTCCGGCCAATGAGGCGCTTGGTAGCATAGAATGTATTATTTGGATTGGTGACAGCCTGTCGCTTGGCAGGCATGCCAACAAGTCGCTCACCATCTGCTGTAAAGGCCACAACTGAAGGGGTGGTTCTTGCACCTTCAGCATTCTCCAATACCTAAAATTCCCAAAATGAGACAGAGAATAAGGTCCTAGTTATCATTAGTAGCTTGTTTCATTTAAGACCCAAAACAGGTATCAAGTTATTAAACACTCAAGAACAATACTAATCAGCATGCTTTAATGCTATGAATGCTGACACAGTGAAGACCTAATATTGAAGACAGAAGATATTTAAGATATCCTGACATCTTCATTTACTTTGAAACTATTTCTAAATAAAAATAACAAGTGGGACAAAGACTATAGATTAGGTCTTCCATACTCAATTTTGGGATGAGGTAATCTTTCCCTCCATAAAATAAATTATTTTTGGCCGGGTGTGGTGGCTCACGCCTATAATCCTAGCACTCCGGGAGGCCGAGGCGGGCAGATTACTCAAGGTCAGGAGTTTGAAACCAGCGGGAGCAAGAGCAAGACCCCGTCTCTACTATAAATAGAAAGAAATTAATTGGCCAACTAATATATAGAGAAAAAATTAGCCGGGCATGGTGGTGCATGCCTGTAGTCCCAGGTATTCGGGAGGCTGAGGCAGTGGGATTGCTTGAGCCCAGGAGATTGAGGTTGCTGTGAGCTAGGCTGAAGCCACAGCACTTACTCTAGCCTGGGCAACAAAGCGAGACTCTGTCTCAGGAAAAAAAAAAAAAAAAATTTTTTTTTGTGTCAGCTACAAATTTCAGGTATATAGAAAAAAAATGCCAAGAAGCATAAATCAGGGCTTCTGTTGGTACCAAAAAAACGGGATAACAAGTCTCTAGATAGTTCAGGTTATTTCAGAAGAGGGTATGAGGTTGGGGAAATAGAAAGCATGAAAGGCCATGCACGGAAGTAGAATCCCAGGTGCTCTAAACGGTGATAACCCAGTGGAAATAAAGGTTTCATGTACAGAGTAAGGACAGCAAGAAGCTCTGAAGAATATGCTTCACTTAAGATGTGGAGTTCCATGTTCGCTTCAGCAGCACATATACTAAAATTGGAACAATACAAAGATTAGCATGGCCCCTGCGTAAGGATGACACTTTTAAAAATATAAAAGAAAAAATAAAAAAGATGTGGAGTCCCACTTGCTTCTAAGATGTCTGTTCATGCACTTCCAATCTTGATTCAACTAACTTACAAAAATGCAAGACTTTGATTACAAGAGTAATAGTGCAATCCATTCCAACTCCTCCTAATGGTAAGTTAGTTGTCTTACCTCTATATCAGGAGGACAATCTAATTCCTATCCTAGGAAGCCAAATACCTACAGTTATCAGCACCCAAAGGTTCACCCAACAAGTCTTTTTTTTGAGACAGTGTCTCCCTCTGTTGCCGTGGTGTCTGCCTAGCTCACAGTAACCACAAACTCCTGGGCTCAACTTATCCTCCTGCCTTAGCCTCCCGAGTAGCCGGGACTACAGGCGTGTGCCACCATGCCCGGCTAATTTATATATATATATATATATACACACACATACATACACACACACACACACATACATACATATATATATTAGTCGTCCAGCTAATTTCTTTCTATTTTTTTAGTAGCGACGGATTCTCACTCTTACTCAGGCTGGTCTCAAACTCCTGACTTCAAGTGATCCTCCCGCCTTGGCCTCCCAGAGTGCTAGGATTACAAGCGTGAGCTACCACGCCCAGGCAAAAAGTCTTAAGCAACCAAAAGCAGTTTTTAAATGTACATCAGGCTTAGCATCCCTTACCTAAAGCAAAGGGCAGAAAATTCTAGATTGGTTTCTAGCTACCAATCATGCTCACCTTTGCTTGTTTACCTTCCATAACAGCCACACAAGAGTTGGTAGTACCCAAATCGATACCAACAACTGCTCCTTTGATTGCTTCTGATCTGTAAGACATTTAAAACACCAACGTAGTTATTGTTAACAATACTGTTACCAAAATTCTCAGACAATAATATTTGATAGGAGAATGGACAGTGGGATATTACATAATCTATAATTATGGGTAATTACAGAGAGGAATGGTTAATCACAAATGTAGAGCCCACTGTTCTAGGGTTTAACATGTATCTTCTCTCAACCGAAATGAAGTTATACTTACGCATAATCCCGCCTTGAAACGATTCTAAAAGCCTCATGACTAAGGCCATTCCAGCCATCCTGAAAAAGAAAAAGAATTGCTTCACCCATGAACTACATAAGAAAACTTGGGCTAGTTCCAATTATTCTACTGAAGAACACAAAGTTTGAGATTTTCATTCTGCTGAATAGCTACCATGTATAAAACATAGTGGAATGGAAAACTGCTTAGTATATGAGAGAAATTAAAGTAATAAAAACAGCAAACATTTAATAAATATAAGTTTTTCAAATAAGAGAAGTAAATATAAAATTGCCTTGAACTACATTACAATAGGACTTTTCAACCTTGGTACTATTAATTCTAGGCCAAATCTTTGTTGTGGGGGTTGTTATGCACATTGTAGGACATTTAGCAGCATCCTCACCTCTCTGCACTAGAAGCCAGCAAACACCCCATTAAATTGTGACAACCTAAGATATCTCCAGATACAGTCAGATATTCCCTGGGGGCAAACCCTGAAGGAGACACGTAGCCTGACCTTGCCATAAAACTGGTTTAACAGAACTAAGGTCGCTAACTTAGTGGAATCATTAATATACACGTATATTTAAGCAGTGGCCTTCCACCAAAATAAAAAAATCTTTATTACATTCTAACTTCCGGCTCCTTCCTTAATGCCCACACGTGAGCGCAGAGACACAATTGCTATTCTCTGAAGGTATATGTTTTCGACCATTTCACAGCCTTTTCCCCCTGATCTGCTTATCTTTTTCTGAAATGACAAACGATTACAATCTCACACGGAGGATTTGAGAAAATGTTCCTAAGCGCGAAAACGAGTTGGAGTTTGATTTCGACTTGTTAACCAAATGCTTTCTTCCTTTATTTCTCCTTATTAATGAGATCCTTGCACACACTGTGCTTTGCAGAAGAGAAAAGGAACCATCCTCCTCTTAGACTAAAATAAAAACGAAAATAGCGGCTTTCCCGATAGACTGCATCCCTCGCCCCTACGGCCAACTCTGTCTAACTAGCCACAGAACGGACTATGAGGACCGCTACCTGATTTATGAAACCATACTCTAGATTGCGAGGGGTGTGACTCAGCAGGACCCAAGACACGAAGGCAAAAAACCCTGAACAAGGCCTTGAATCGGCAGCGCTAATTATGGGAGGCCCGTTATCTTCCTTCCCTCCTGATGTCTCTAGGAAGATTCTGACCCCGAAGGGCACAGCCTGCTGCACCGAGGCCCGAGGCCCTGAGCCCTCCTCCAGGAGTTCCTTACCTGGTGGCGGGCGGCCGTGGGGCCCCGAGAAGCTGCGGCGCCCACGAGACGAGCTGCCGCGGCTCGGCTAGCGCTTATCATGGCGGCTAGACGAAGGGAGCACGAAGCAACAAACAAGCGCTCGGGCGGCCGGGAGCTGTACGGCGCGGTGGTGGCTGCGCTTCTGGAAGCCTCCGACCACGTGGGGTGAGGGGCGGGGGTTGGTCACTGCAGCCCGAAGGCCCGCTCTTCCGCTGAGGCGCCGCCCTCGCCGCCTGACCAGAGACGGCCTGACTGCCGCTCCCGGAGCCAGGGCGTAAGGATAATGTGCTCCGCAGCATGATTTTTGAAAAAATCCTGGCCTCCCGTTCCAGCCGCAGCAGCTCTGGGCTCAGTGAGAGTTAATGAGAGGAAGGGGTGTATGAAGGCAGCATCTCAGACAGCCCTGGTCCTCGGACGCAGGAAAGGCTCAAGGTCACACGGGATAAATTGCGAACCGATTACAGTCTCCTTGCGTCAGTTGCGCGGGAGGAGGAGACTGTTGCGCCTGCGTAACTGGCATCCGGGTAAGGGCTTGGAGTGCATGTGCGTAGGGAGCGGCGGAAAACGGGTGTGGAGACTAACTACAGCGCTCATTGGATGCCCCCGCGCACGCGAGTTTGGCCTGAGTGTAGCCAAGGCGGCCCGGGCGCGTGCACATACCGCGAGTGTGGGCGTGATTTGCGTGCCTGCTCCTCAGGAAGGGCGCCATTTTGTCTTGTGGCTTTGTTGAGAGAATACGTCAGGACCTTTGTTGCTTCGTCCCGCCCTTTGTTCCCAACTTGACAAACGTCTGGCTAGGCAGGCCTTAGACAAAATTCATGTCGCATTTTACCACAGGGGTCTCGGGTTTCCGACTACAGAGCTGCGTCTTGTTCACACGAAGCATTTGGTCGCGTTAGGATAATTTTTGTGGGAACCGTTAAGGGAAAATAATTCTTTAGCTCAGGCTCTTCCCAGCCCCGCTGGCTCTTTTCAAACTGTATGTATACTGGTTGCAAGATGTAGGTTGCTACTCTGCCCTGTGACCAGTTTCAGATTTTTAAGAAAAGGGATTAATTTATTCAACAAACAAGTACTGGCGCGAGTACCAAGTGTCAAGCGCTCTTCTGAGTGGTGGGAATACTGGGAAAGCAAAATGTGAATGCACTGAGGAGATGATGGTGGGATTGGACTTGATTTGGAGGTGAAGCAATTCGTCCTTGAAGTTTTGTGGGGGTTTTTTTGGCAGGGGTTGGGGGACAGGATCTCGCTGTCTTGGCCTCCTGAGGCGACGGGAGAGGGGGTCTCACTCTTGCTCTGGCGGTCCTCCCTCTGGGCCACCCAAAGTGCTAGCAGTGAGCCAACAGGCCAAAGTCCTCTTTTAAAAGAAATACATGCTTTGGCCGGGCGCGGTGGCTCACGCTTGTAATCCTAGCACTCTGGGAGGCCGAGGCGGGCGGATTGCTCAAGGTCACGAGTTCAAAACCAGCCTGAGCGAGGACCCCCCCCCACTATAAAAATAGAAATTAATTGGCCAACAAATATATATATATATGAAATTAGCCGGGCATGGTGCCTCGTGCCTGTAGTCCCAGCAACTCGGGAGGCTGAGGCAGCAGGATCGCTTGAGCCCAGGAGTTTGAGGTTGCTGTGAGCTAGGCTGACGCCACAACACTCTAGCCTAGGCAAGAAAGCGAGACTCTCTCAAAAACAAAAACAAAAACAAAAACAAAACATGCTTCAGACCCCTACCTCTTTCCTCAGAAAACTCAGTATTAAGTCGTCACCACGGTGGGAGGAACTGGGAAGGCGACGTAGGGGGAAGTTCGGGAGGGAAAGAAGATAACTGGAGTTTACATTCTGAGGGGGATGGAAGTGGGAGTAAGAAAAACAGGAAACTCAAAACAGTAACATTGGTTATAGATTATGCAGATTCTGAAAGTTTTACAAAATCCTCCCACACACGCTTCCCTTAAGTGTTAGCTATTACTGTATTATCCTCACTGGTCTATCTAATCTTCATTTCTTTTGTTAATTCCCTCAGAGGTAGGCTTTGCTAAGGCCATTAAAATGACAGGTTCATGATTCCTATTTGTGGAGATTTATATTTTAAAACAATACACTGGGTCAGGCACGGTGGCTCATGCCTGTAATCCTAGCACTCTGAGAGGCGGAGGCGGGAGGATCCCTCAAGGTCAAGAGTTCAAGACCAGCCTGAGCAAGAGCGAGACCCGTCCCTACTAAAACTAGAAAGAAATTAGCTGGACAACTAAAAAAATATATATATAAAGTTAGCCGGGCCTGGTGGCACATGCTTGTAGTCCCAGCTACTCGGGAGGCTGAGGTAGGAGGATCTCTTGAGCCCAGGAGTTTGAGGTTGCTGTGAGCTAGGCTGACGCCAGGGCACTCTAGCTGAGGAAACAGAGTAAGACTGTCCCAAAAACAAAACAAAGGCCGGGCGTGGTGGCTCATGCCTATAATCCTAGCACTTTGGGAGGCCCAGGCAGGAGGACTGCTCAAGGTCAGGAGTTCGAAGCAAACAAAAAAACAATATACTGATACAAAAGAAGATAATGACAATATTAAACATTAAAGCAAAATAGAAACAGAAAACATTACGTCCTTTTGTTGTACGTGACAGGGCGTGAAGAGGGCAGGTGAAAATAATTAGAGTAACTGTATTCTTCTCACTTTCCTCTTCTCTCAGCTGGTTTCTTCTTCTTGCTCCATACACTAAAAAGTCACAAAGTGTTAATCATAAGAATCCTGGAGTCAAATGGTGTTATTTGACATATTCAGTGCCACACTAGATAGAAAAAACACTTTTTTTCCTTGGAGCCACAGTGTTTTATTATGAAAATAAAATAAAAACTTCAAAAACAAAAAAATCCTTTCTAATTTAATGAAAAATTTATTATTTTTATTATTTTCTGTGTGTGAGTTATATGCAATTAAATTGTTAATATTAATTATAACAATAAAAATAACAACAATTAAGATTTTGACAAACTGCAGGGTTTTGCCCAGGGGCCACTCGTAGCATGGGTGCTACAGCATGGTGGGGTGAATTGCCTGTGCACCACACAGTTCCCAAGGTAAAGAGACTTGTGAGAGTTACATATACTTCATGAGGCACTGGGCTCAAAACTAGCATGATTTAAATACAACTCACACGACAGTTAATGTGTTAAACAGTGTCTAAGACCACAATTCTCTGGGTACATACCTTATATGATTGTTCCTGGCGGTTTCCCCAGGAGCATTGCAAATACTCTGCACGACCACAAGGGGGATGAGGTAGCGCTAGATTTTCAAAGCACAAGCCTGAGAATGGGGGGCTTTGTAGCATTTCCGGTGTGAAGGACAGGCTTCTGGACTGCTTTGCATATTAACATGTGTTAATACTACAGCCTGAAGGCTTGATTCTAAAAACACAAAAGCGTTCAAATGAACAAGAATGGACAGTTACATCCACAGCCAAGTGGTGTAATTCTTCACCATATAGCACAGTACCTTATTTCCTTTGTCTGTTGTCATCTTAGTGTCACACTGGGAAATGGACGAGCTGGTGCATAATTTGCATGTGGGTAAATGTTTACCAAACAGACCAGGTGGCTGTCCAATGCCTGTGCATTATATATATATATATATAATTATTTTTTAAGAGATAATAACCGCCTGTAATCCTAGCTCTCTGGGAGGCCGAGGCGGGCGGATTGCTCAAGGTCAGGAGTTCGAAACCAGCCTGAGCAAGAGCAAGACCCCGTCTCTACTATAAATAGAAAGAAACTAATTGGCCAACTAATATATATAGAAAAATATTAGCCGGGCATGGTGGCACATGCCTGTAGTCCCAGCTACTTGGGAGGCTGAGGCAGCAGGATTGCTTGAGCCCAGGAGTTTGAGGTTGCTGTGAGCTAGGCTGACGCCACGGCACTCACTCTAGCCTAGGCAACAAAGCGAGACTCTGTCTCAAAAAAAAAAAAAAAAAAAAGAGAGATAATAACATAGCAAGAGTCTTGCTATGTTACCTTGGCTGGTCTCAAACTCCTGGGCTCAAGCCATCCTCCGGCCTCAGCCTCCCTAGAAGCATGTACCACCATACTCAGCACCCTATATTTTTAATATTAATAATATTCCAACTGAAATGATTATTTTAGCATATTTGAAGACAGGTAACTAGTTTCAACTTTTAAGTATTTAACTCTCAGCCATTAATAGTTGTCTTTAGAATAGTAATCATTAATAGTTATGAGTGTTCACTTAAGTGCCATACACTGTCCTAAATTGCTTTATATACATTATTTGGCATGCTCACCATGATCTCATGTAAATATTAAATACTATTGGTATTCCCATTTTTCCCATTTTGCAAATGGGGAAACTGAAGCTTAGAGTGGTTAAGCGTGGGTCACATAGCAACAGAATGGCAAAGCTAGAGTTTGAAGCTAGATTGTCTGACTCCAGAACCTACATTGTTAACCATTAGGCTCTGCCACCACATAACCAAGCTGGGTCTTTCACCTCTGCTTTCACATATCCAGAAGATGTGTTTTGTAGTGCTGACCTAATCCATGATTAGTTATTTTAGGTAATTCAATTAAAAAGTTAGAAATACTTTAAAATTTTTTAGTTGTTTAGGTTCCAGGACAACTAGAAAGCTCAATCTGTAATATAACGCATAGGATCAGCTTTATATATTTAAAGTGAAGTCTCTTTAAATTGGTGACTCAGAGATGTTTTATTCACTCTTCCCAAAGATGGATAGCATGCTGTGACACCTTACATCTTCAGGAAATAAAAATGTGACACACTGCAGGGATTTGTCACTTTTGTTCTCCTTGGAATTTTTCATGTACCTGCAGCAGATTTCAGGAGACAGTTCCCACTGTTCTCTTTTGGCATTAGAGATACTATATTGGAGTACATGACACAGTGTCACTCCACTCCAGCCTGATTCAACAGAGCTTGCCTTAGTGAAGCATAGGAAGTATTATGTCAGGGGATGTCCCTGTCCCCAGGGATGGTAACAATTAGCAGGTTTCATTCTGTGCTGAATGTCTAGTACCCCACCAACCTGCCCTGCTCCTAATAGGAGAAAAGAGAAATAGAGGATGACCCTGAAAGAAAAGTAAGGCAGCAATAAATCAAAGTAAGATGTCACTTTGATTAGACAGAACATTTACATTCCAATGATAATGCAGTCTCATTGCACAAGGTAGAAAGCAATTAACCTCTTTCTGGATTTCCATTCAGCTTTGGAAAACAGTTGGCTATTAGATAGGTCTCCATGGCACCATGCAGGAAGCCCCTGTTTGGGGAAGAGATGTGGCTGACAAAACCAGATTTGTTCTTCATGAAGATCCAGTTAACTTTGTAGCCCAGGCTGCAGTGCAGTAGTGAGATCATAGCTCATTTACAGCCTTACACTCCTGGGCTCTAAGTGATGTTCCTGCCTCAGCTTCTCAAATAGCTAGGACTAT